ATGTTTCTCTGGCATTCCCAGATCAACTAGGTCGTGAACATCATCCTGTTATGGGAGGGGCCGCCGGCCTCTTGGCGGGGCTCGCGGGGGCGTTGGACGCGGCCGCCGCGGCGGCGGGAAGTTAGTCGAAGGGACGGAAAATTGCGGGCCGGGCGGGGCGGGCGCCGGGGCCCCCCTCGCATCTTCCTCGGGGCCCCGGCGGGGAGGGTCCTGCGGCGGGGCTCACGCTTCTCAATTTCCGTGTTTTTCCCCTTTTCAGCCGAAACAGCTTCCCGACAAGTGGCAACACGACCTTTTCGACAGCGGCTTCGGCGGGGGCGCCGGCGTGGAGACGGGGGGGAAGCTGCTGGTGTCCAACCTGGACTTCGGAGTGTCCGACGCGGACATCCAGGTGAGCGAGCGGCTTCGCGGTCAGCAGCCCCCGTTCTGTCTCGGGAGGTGCCCCCCATGCGGGGCTGCGGGGTGCAGGCTGCGGGGTGCGGTGCAGAGGTCGTGCAGGAGCTGAGCCTCCGACAGGCGGGCGGGCCCGACTCCAGCCGCGAGAGCCTCGGGTCCCGCAGGGACAGGGGCAGCGTGGCGCCGTGTTGCGTGGAGCGAGGCTGCTTGCTCGCTGTACTCGTCCATCTCCGCGGTCTGCGGAGGCGGGATGGTGCGTGTCCCTGGTGTTGGCCTGAGCCCTGTGTCTCTACCTGTTGTCTCCCTTCCCACCACCCTCCAGTCTCACCCGCATTTCAGACCCCCCTTTGGTTGAAGCCTCTAGGTTTGTTTTCGTTTTCAGTTATTATTATTGGTTGAGTCCCACAGGGATGTAACTTGTCCTGTGGCTCAGTGATGGCACCGCGGGGTCAGGCGTAGCGAGGGCTGGGTCAGGGTGCTGGGCCGTCCTGGGCTCCGTGTCCCCGAGCTCAGCTGTGGGAGGACAGAGCGAGGCCGGTGAGCACTCACAGTGTCTCAACACTCTTTTCAAGGTGGTTTCTGGCATCCACTGGAAACCGCTCTTGGTGACCTCCTCTTCCCGCTGTGCCTGCGGCCGGAGTAGCCCCACACCCTGGGTTCCCTCTCCAACTCCCAGCCTGCCTGAGGCCAGGGCAGTTCCCATGGCAGCGCTTGACTTGAGACTTTGCGGCAGGCTTGAGTAGGAGGAGAGGGAAAGGTGAGCCAGAACCCGCCCCGGGGGGCTGGGCAGGACCCCCAAACCAGTGGGCCCTGGAGCTGGTGCACATGGCAGGTGGTGTCCCTGGTTCTGTGATCTCGGCCTTTGCTGATGGTTGGCACTGTTCTCGGGTGTGTTGTCAACTCCTTTGTCAAAGAAGACAGCGACTTCACGGGTGCCCCTCACGGGGGCTTGTGGTAGATGGCAGGCCCCCAGGCTGGCCGGAGCCCTCAGGCCCAGCTGTTCCTGGAAGTTGCTGTCTCGCCTGCCCCGTCCTTCCCCACATCCCACTCCCACTGTCCTGCCCCCACCTGTATGTCTGCCACCCAGGGAAGTGCCCTCAAAGTAGCTGACACTCCCGGGGCTGTCCCCCGGCCGCCGGAGGGGACAAGTGTGGCTGATGATGCTCTTCCTGACTCCAGGAGCTGTTTGCGGAGTTCGGGACTCTGAAGAAGGCCGCCGTGCACTACGACCGCTCTGGCCGCAGCCTGGGAACAGCCGACGTGCACTTTGAGCGGAAGGCAGACGCCCTGAAAGCCATGAAACAGTACAACGGCGTCCCTTTGGATGGTGCGTTTGGGGTTGGACCCAGGGAGCTGAGGGCTGGCACCTGTATGCTTACACCCTCCCCCTCCCCGTTGAGGACACTTTGCCGTCACCCCCTTGTCTCCCATTCTGCCACCCTCTGCTGCCCCCACATCTGGACCCACCTCTTGTGATCCCCATCCAACAAGCTACGTTCCTCCCCTTCAGCTCCTTCCTTCCCGAAGCCTCGCCTTCCAGAAGCACCGTAGTGCTCGCTCTGCGGGCGGGCTGAGGGTGTCAGGGGCCCCCACCTTTCCACCTGTGAGCAACGCCGCCTGAGCCGGGCTGAGGAGTGAGGCGGTGGCAGGCATCCTCGGTGCTGCTCCTCCCAGTGGGTCCAGGCTGTCTGTCTTGGTGGGAACATTGGGGGCCCGGTGGGTTTCAGGCTCCGATGGGAGTGTACCCTTTTGTGTTCCCGCCGCAGGCCGCCCCATGAACATCCAGCTCGTCACCTCACAGATAGACACGCAGCGCAGGCCGGTACAGAGTGTAAACAGAGGCGGCATGACTAGAACCCGAGGATCTGGAGGCTTCGGCGGCGGCACTCGGAGAGGCGCCCGTGGAGGCAGCCGGGGCAGAGGCAGGGGCACCGGCCGGAGTTCAAAGCAGCAGATCTCTGCGGAGGAGCTGGACGCCCAGCTGGACGCTTACAATGCGAGGGTGAGTCCTGGGCCGGGGGGCTGGGGGCTGGCCTAGTGCGAGGGTGGGGAGCCCCCTCTTTTTTGGGGGTGGGACCTTCTCTGACCTCTTTTTTCTCCTGTTTCAGATGGACACCAGCTAAAGCACCAGCAAGTCCGCGCGTGGAGCTAGGCCTGGACGTCGTCTCGCGCTGCTTCCCGAGGGCGGGCCGGCGGGGCCCTGTGGCCAATGATGGAGTTGTTTCTTCTGTTTTAAAATAGGATTTAAAACTCATGTAAAGATTTCTTTTCCTTTTTTTTTCTTTTTTTTAAAAAATTCTGAAACAGACCTGTTTTGTACCGAGTTATTTTTGGGATAAATTTTACTGATTGCTGTTGTGGAGGAGGTGGTGTTTTCACCTTTGCCATAATAAACAGAAACGTGTGTAGAACTGGAGCTCTCGTTCGTAGTTGGAGCCCTCGCCTGGGCCACACTTTGGTGCTGACCGGGAGGGAGGGAGGGACACGGGGCAGGTGGGGAGCGGCCGAGCTGGCATCTGGTGTCCTGGCAGGCTGGCGCTGGTGCTGGGGAGGTGGTGGCTGCCTCTCTGACGTTCCAGGGGTCCTGGCACTCCTGCTGACCTGGGCGGTAGGGGAACGTGGAGTAGTAGTCCCTGCTCCTGTAGCCACTTGTCACCTGTCTGCTGCATGAGGCGGGGTGGCCACCTGTGCTGCTGCCAGATTGCAGGTGACTGTTCGCTTGTCCCCTTCCTCCGCTGCTCAGGAGCCTGGCGTTGGCAGCTCTGACTGCAACATCCTCCCTTCCTAGTGTCCTTCCTGTTGGCCAGGGTGGAGCAGGGCATGGGGGTTCTCTGCCTGCGCTGATGGTGCTGGTGGTGCTGGTGGAGACTGGCAAGTGTGACCTGCAGAGCCAGGAGCCGGTGGACACACGTGCCCCTCTCACCACCCTCCAACAGGACAGAGCGGGCTGGGATCACAGTGGATGCAGGTCAGGGGGACCCCAAGCATGCTTGGCCAGGCCCCTCCTGGAGGCAGCCTGCAGCTCAGGCTGCTCCCAGTCCCCATGGGGCCACAGTGTGACTAAGGGTGGCCCTCTCACTGTCAGCTCCAGTGCTGTCCCCACAGAGCCAGTGGCTGCCACGCTGCAGCCTGTGCTACGCTGGGCACTGAAGGGCCCGGGAACAGCCGAGCCTGGCTTGAGCTGCCGTGGCCCAAGGTGTGGATGTAACAGGTCGGGTCATCCAGGCACAGGCGGGCACAGGCCAGGTGGGAGACTGCGCTGGGAGTGTTGACAGGAGAGGTGGGGTCATCTTGCTCCCTGCTGTCCAGAAGCTAAAGTCAGCACCTGATGGAGGGGTGAGGTCCCCCAGGCCAGAGGCCATAAGTGCTGGAAGCGCCCGCCACTGGGGTGGGGAGCTGGGGTGGTTCCTCAGGCCCTGGGGGAGCAGTGCTAGGCCCCATCTTCAGGTGCCAGGCAACAACTGGGAACAAGAACTCCCAGACAGTGGAAGGCTGTGGAGGAAAACGGGGGGAGGGGAACCTGTGGACGTTTGGAGGGAAGCTTTCCAGGCAGCGGAAAGGCCCTGAGGTGAGGACACTGGAAGCTGGGACAAGCCGGGCCCTGGTGTGGCTGGTTGGAGGGGCTGGTGTTGAAGGAAGGGGCCCTGGTACAGGCTGCGGCCAGCTTTCGGGGCCTCCCAAGGGTGACATCCATAGACAGTGCCCCAAAGTAGATGTGGAGTGGGCTTTCAATGCGTAGAATGTGAAATGCTTGTTTTAGAAAAAGATTTTCTTTTTTTTTCCCCTCTTTTTCCCCCCATAACTCCCCTCCTCCCAGTTCCCACCCCACCCTCCGCCCTCACTCCCCACCCACTGTCCTCATCCATAGGTGCACGATTTTTGTCCAGTCTCTTCCCGCATCTCCCACACCCCTTCCCCCCCAAGAATAGTCAGTCCATTCCTTTTCTATGTCCCTGATTCTTTTTTTTTTAAATCTTTATTGTTCAGATTATTACATTTGTTCCTCTTTTTTTCCCCCCATAACTCCCCTCCTGCCAGCTCCCACCCCACCCTCCGCCCTCACTCCCCACCCTCTGTCCTCATCCATAGGTGCACGATTTTTGTCCAGTCTCTTCCCGCATCTCCCACACCCCTTTTCCCCCCAAGAATAGTCAGTCCATTCCCTTTCTATGTCCCTGATTCTATTATAATCACCAGTTCATTCTGTACATCAGGTTATTTATTCACTTGATTCTTAGATTCACTTGTTGATAGATGCATATTTGTTCATAATTTGTATCTTTACCTTTTTCTTCTTCCTCTTCTTAAAGGATACCTTTCAGCATTTCATATAATACTGGTTTGGTGGTGATGAACTCCTTCAGCTTTTCCTTATCTGTGAAGCTCTTTATCTGACCTTCAATTCTGAATGATAGCTTTGCTGGGTAAAGTAGTCTTGGTTGTAGGTTCTTGCTACTCATCACTTTGAATATTTCTTGCCACTCCCTTCTGGCCTGCAAAGTTTCTGTTGAGAAATCAGCTGACAGTCGTATGGGTATTCCCTTGTAGGTAACTGAGTTTCTTTTTCTTGCTGCTTTTAAGATTCTCTCTTTGTCTTTTGCTCTTGGCATTTTAATTATGATGTGTCTTGGTGTGGTCCTCTTTGGATTCCTTTTGTTTGGGGTTCTCTGTGCTTCCTGGACTTGGAAGTCTATTTCTTTCACCAGGTGGGGGAAGTTTTCTGTCATTATTTCTTCAAATAGGTTTTCAATATCTTGCTCTCTCTCATCTTCTGGTACCCCTATAATTCTGATGTTGGTACGTTTGAAGCTGTCCCAGAGGCTCCTTACACTATCTTCGTATTTTTGGGTTCTTTTTTCATTTTGCTTTTCCGGTTGGGTGTTTCTCGCTTCTTCGAATTTCAAATCTTTGACTTGATTCTTGTGATCCTCTGGCCTGCTATTGGGAGTCTGTATAATATTCTTTATTTCAGTCAGTGTATGCTTAATTTCTAGTTGGTTCTTTATCACAACATCGAGGGTCTCATTAGATTTCTTGAGGATCTGACTATATTTATCGGCGGTCTCACCAGTCTTTTCTAGGGCCTTACTAAGTTTATCGGCGGCTTCTAGACAGTTCTTGAGAGACCTTAAAAGTGTGGTTTTGAACTCTATATCCTCCATTTCTGTCAGTTGTGTCCTGTTTCTTTGTCTCCGCATTTTTTATGCTTTCTTGGTGCACCCCCTTGTGGTCTTTGTGCGCAGTCTTGTTGTAGTTAAGCCTTGATTGTTGTAGGTAATACTGGGGGGGATTTGACCTCCAGGCCAACTGGCTGTGAGAAAAAGATTTTCAATTGACAGAAAACATTGGGGGTGAGGGGGCCGATGGGGGAAAAGGGGGCACATATGTAATACTTTCAACAATAAAGATTTTAAAAAAATAAAACATTCCATGGGCACAAAAGGCTGATAATACACAGTCGTTTTCCCAGCACTAGTCAGGTGAAATCCTCGTTCCTACAGGCTTTTGAAATGAGAGCTTTAGTATGGTCATGCCATTATGTTTTCCCCTCAGCGTACATCTCAGTGATTTTACTGTATTCAGTCACACACCCACCACCACATTCCAATTCCAGAATCTTCTCATCACCACTCAGCCCCTTCCCCTCTCCCCAGGTGGGCACTGGGCCACTCAGCCTCTGGGTTTCCCTGTTCTGGGCATTTCAAATACAGGAACTGTTCGCCATGGGACCTTTCCATCTGGCTTTAGGTTCGCATACCACACCAACCACCTGACCTGACCCCCCCCCCCCCCCGCCAGGGCTCCTAAGGATTTTTGAGTTTATCCGCTTTACAGCATGAATCAATACTTCAGTCCTTTTGCCGAATCACCTGTGATGGATGCCTCACGTTTTGTTTCCCCACTCATCAGTTGCTGGGCGTTTGGGTTGCTGCCACTTTTTGGCTATTAGAATGCTGCTGCTATGAGCATTATTCATACATTTTTATGTTATGGAATTAAAGGTGGCTATATTTTTCATAAATGTTTACATTATTTTTTTAAAATATATTTTATTGAATTTTTACAGAGAAGAAGGGAGAGGGATAGAGTTAGAAACATCGATGAGAGAGACCGATCAGCTGCCTCCTGCATAGCCCCCAGTAGGGATGTGCCCGCAACCAAGGTACATGCCCTTGACCGGAATCGAACCTGGGACCCTTGAGTCCGCAGGCCGACTCTCTATCCACTGAGCCAAACCGGTTCGGCTACATGATTTACTTTAATGAGCTGTTATTATTAACAAGTCACCCTGGGATCAACTGACTATTGGGAGGGAAATAGCAATAAATATGTATCATTAAAGATTTTCATATAAAAAGAAAACCAGAAGGTAATCTCGTTAATTTTAAATACATCAACTTGTCGGTGATCATTTAGCCCACGCTAGGACAGAGTTAATTTTTGTTATCTATGCAGGTTGCAGAAACAGTTGTAAAATGTTTTAGCACAATAGTAAATTAATATCTAATAAAAATTAAGCATACCAGTTTTTAAATGTACAAATCCATCATAAACACCATTCAAGTTACCGTTATTGTTTTAATAATCTTTTTTTGTCCTTGTTGAATAAACACTCAAGATTTCTTAACAACAGTAAAGAACATCCAATGTTCACCTCTGGAGGGCTCTTGGGCACTAATTCATTCTAAATACTGACAAATAACAGAGTGTCAAACATTTTATCTGGTTTTATTTTTCTCAACTGTATTTTGAAGGGATTAAATAACTGATGAGGAAGTTTTTTTAAAAAAAGAATTCCAGCCCTAACTGGTATGACTCTGGATAGAGCATCAGCCTGCAGACTGAAGGGTCCTGAGTTTGATTCTGGTCAAGAGCACATGCCCAGATTTCAGGCTTGATCCCAAATAGGGTATCTCTCTCATCACTGGTGTTTCTATCTCTCCCTCTCCCTTCCTCCCTAAAATCAATAAAAATATTTTTTTAAAAAAAGAATTCCTGTTAAGAAATGCCAGTGAATTAGAAAATAACCATTTTTTGATGCCTAATTGTGCTGTGCCAGCACGGCCAAGGGTGAGCCTGAGGAGGGGCGGTGAAGGATTGAAGAAAAGACAGACAAGAGAATACAGCTGGGGCTCGGTGGATCTCCCATGCTTGGATGAGGACACAAAAGACCCAGCCTGCAAGCCGGAGCTTTATTTTATAGTCTGATTAAAACAAGATTAACATGTATACAAATGTTCTTGTTTTCGCAACACTTGCTGCACCTCCCACAGCCCACTAGCTACTTCGGAAGGAATTAGGGAGGGCTACAAGGTCAGGCTTCATTGTGCTAGGAGGGCTCTGCTCTCCAGGCTGGGACTTGTTTTGTGGGCCCTGCCCACAGGTCAGCCTGAGGCTTGACCCTAGAGCCGCTCCCTACACCTAATAAGATAATGCCTGTTGAAAACAATACCCATGACCTCTGATGCCATGGGCTTGAGAGGCTGCTGGCCGGCCGGAGCCCACAGCACCTCTGAAAGTTTACTGGGGTCTTCTCCAGCCTGAGCTATGAGTGGACAGGAGCACCCACAGCACAGAGGAGGACTGGGCCAGGCAAACCCAGAAGTGCCTGGGAAATGCTCAGCCACCTATGTCCTGGTTTCCTCCGAATCTGAGAGGCACAGCACAGAAAAGCGACTGTGGTGTAGCCATAAAGATTTGGTCTTTGTCCCCGGTTCCCGGCACAGCTCCAACAGCCCTTGGAATCTCCTGGCAGGAGTGTCTCTTTATTCAGGACAGATCCCTTTCACACTCGGGTTTACGGTGATGCGATGACTCTGGGTGGGCTCCTGAATAGTGTCAGGATGGCTGCTGGTACCCTGACCTCTGGGAAGGGGCCAAGGCTAGACACAGTCAATCACCAAGGACTGATGATTTAGTCAACCTTGCCTTCTGATGAAGATTCCATAAAAGCCCCTAAACCATGGGTTTGAAGAGGTTCCAGGTCAGTGAACACACGAGGAGGTGCTGGGAGGGTAGTGGGCCCAAAGAGGGCATGAAGCCCCAATACACCCTCCCTTCCTTGCCTTGTGCATTTCTTTAAAAAATTTATATATATATTTAAATTGGTTTCAGAGAGGAAGATAGAGGGAGAGACAGAAACATCTATACTAATGAAAGGGTAATATGCTAATTAGATGTCTTCCGGACGTCCTTCTGGACAAAGCTGCAGTGGCTGCTGCTGCGAGGGCCGGGCTAAGGCTCAGGCAAGCCGTGGTGGCTGGCAGCGTAATGGGGGCATTGCCTTCCCCTGATCAGCCCGGTCACCTCCCGCAGAGGGAGGCCAGACTGCAGCTTAGGATATCCCCTGAGGGCTCCTGGACTGTGAGAGGGGGTAGGCCAGGCTGAGGGACCCCCCCCTCCCGCCGTGCACAAATTTTCATGCACCAGGATTCTAGTCCTATATAATAAAAGGCTAATATGCAAATTGACTGAATAGTGGAACCTGTCGCTATGACATGCACTGACCACCAAGGGGCAGATGCTCAAGTAGGAGCTGCCCCCTGGTGGTCAGTGCACTACCACAGGGGAAGCGCTGCTCAGCCAGAAACTGGGCTCATGGATGGTGAGCACAGTGGCGGTGGCGGGAGACTCTCCTGCCTCCACGGCAGCGCTAAGGACCCCTTGGGAGATGTCCTACTGCCGGGAGCAGGCCTAAGTTGGCAGGCGGACATCCCCTGAGGAGTCCCGGACTGTGAGGGGGGACAGGCCAGGCTGAGGGAAACCCCCCCCTCCAGTGCATGAATGTCGTGCACCGGGCCTCTAGTCAACAATAAGCATCAACAGGCTGCCTCCTGCATGCCCCCTACTGGGGATGAGCCTGCAACCTGGGGAAGGGGCCTTGTGCACTGAGCCACACCAGCTGGGCGCCCTGTGCGTTTCTTGCAAGTTGTTACCTTTATAATCGACCAATGATCACAAGTAAAGAGCTTCACTGAGTTGTGTGAGTTATTTCATGGAATTTTCTAACCCGGCGTGGGGAGGTCTTGGGAATCCTCAAATGTGTAGTCTGCTGGCAAAGATGTGGGTAGCCTGGGTACCCCACTCGTGGCTGGTGTGAGGTAGGGGCAGCCTGTGGGCCGTCCTCGGGCAGACAGACCTGGCAGAACGCTGATGGCCAGCCCTCAGGTGGCTGCAGGACGCCAATCTGCCCACCACTCCCGAGAGCCCCGCAGAGTTCGCGGGGCCCACAGAACACGAGAGAGAGAAGCAAACATTTGTTGTTCCACTTATTCCTGCATTCACTGGTGGCATCTTGCGTATGTCCTGACCAGGGATCGACCAGCATGGGGAGGTGACTCCGCCAGGGCCAGGACTTGAAAGTTTTCAATATTCACGCTGGCCTGTTCCGCTCAGCGGCTAGAGCGTCAGCCTGTGGACTGAAGGGTCCCGGGTTCCATTCCAGTCAGGGGCACATGCCCAGGTTTTGGGCTCAATCCCCAGCGGGGGGCGTGCAGGAGGCGACAAATCAATGATCCTCATCACTGATGTTTCTCTCTCTCCCCCTTCCTCTCTGAAATCAGTAAAAACATATATTTTTTAAAAAGGTTTGAACTTTCCAGTTGCACAGCAATGAGACAGGGTCCATCGTGTAGAAGCCCTTGGGGAAGAAGGTTCATTCCCAAGTCAGGCCGCCTGTGCCGCCATCATCACCCCCGGGGCCAGGCGGACCGGCTGCACCAACGCAGAGGCTGAGCCTGCGGCTGATTCTGCCCAAGGTCGCGGTTCACTAGCAGAGCCCTGAGCTCTCTTCTCCTTCGGGGCACTCGGGGCGTCGCCTGGTCGTTTCCGGTCGGTTGGCAAACGTTGAGCCCCTGAGGAAAACTTCGCCGCACCCCGCGGAGGCCCCGCTCCGGGGGCCCGAGCAGGCGGCCGCGGCGGGTGGTCGGCGCGAACTCAGGGGCCGTCCACTGTGCACTTCCCGAGGGGTCAACGGCGACAGGCGGGAGGCCGGCCGTCGCGAGCCGCGCGGGGCTCGCTGGACCCGGCGGAGCACGTGGCTGCACGGTCAGCTCCTCCCGCCGGTTCCGGGCTTCCCAGCAGCACCTCGCGGGCGGGAAGGCCACGACGTCCGGGCGGGGGACACCAAGGGCCGCGACACTGCCCCGTCCCCCGAGTTCGCGGGCTGCGCCGTGGGGGCGCCGGCGGCCGGAAATGTCCGCAGCAAAGGGCTCAGGCCCCCGGCCGCACCCGCCCTCGCGGGAGACACTGCCGCCCGCGCCGGGCGCCCTCACGAGCCAGGCGCCGCAAGATGGCGGCCGCGCGCTCCCGGCAGCCCCCGCGGCCCCGCGCGTGCGCCCTCTGCCGACCCGCCCGGCGCGAGCGGAAGTCGCGTGACCCCGGAAGTGGCCAGCCAGAGCGCGCGCGGGCGGGGCGCGGACGTTCGTCATTTCGTGCG